ATTTATTTTTTTGTTTTAATTATTTGCAAATCATCATATCTTCGCTATTTTTAAGGTAAAAATTATGGATATATTACCAAAATACATTTAGAGTGACTTAAAATGTGTTTGAGAACCAAACTCTAGCTTTGAGATAGGCTCTTGGAAGGAGAACACATTTGTATACAACCGCATCTAGACTTCATTTTATTTACTCATAACGTGGAAGCCTCGTTTCCCAAAGCCCCATTCATCAGACAAAATCGCCCACTTGAAACTGTCCTTTGATTTCTTTGCATAATCTTAGATAGTATTCGAAAATTTCGGCCTCCTAGGAGCTAAGGCATTACCTTAATGAAATGGTCTAGACAGGCTGCCTAAGTGTTGAGGTGCCTAGGTGCCCCTTAGGTGGTCGAGGGCCATCTAGGTGCCTACCTTCACTTTGGCCTAGGTGGCACCTGGAGTCCCTTAGCATGAAGGCGGAAAAACATCCTCTACCAAGGGTTCTTGGAGAGTATTCCAACCCTAGTTATGTTTTTCATTGTTTCGAAGTGAGAAAAACATCAAAATTTTAAGAGTTTTGAAATTCTTTTAAGATTGAATTTATTTTTAGAGCCTTTTGATTTCTGGCAAAATTGTAAGGCATTCAACCCTTTTTTTTTTGTGGCTTGAATTGGGTGAGAAAAAAGACTTTTTGCAACCAACAGTTAGTTATTCGAGCGAAGAACAATCTATGATATGGGCATCTTTTAAACATTAAAAATTTTTTACTTTTAGTAATTTGATTTCAATTTTAAAGTTCATATATGTATGAGTATAGGGATTTTTTAGACATCGTAGGGAACTAGGTGCTTGCCCATCTGCCTAGGCTGCCGAGTCTATCTTAAAAGTATATCAAAAAAGCGCAGTTTGAACGGAAAAAAATATTTTGAAGTCTTAAAAATTGTACATTTTATAACAAATTTCTTAAACCATCTATTTTCAATATCTTTGCAAATGTTTATAGATATGCACAATCTGCACCATTTTGAAATATTTAAATTTTATAGGAAGAATTTTTCTAAACCATCGATTTTCAATATCTTTTGAAATGTTTATAGATAATAATTTTTAAAGATTTAAATTTCATAATTAGGAAAGAATTTCAGGTCATTGTAAAGTTTTTTAACACCAAAAACTATGTGTGTCCACCTCGTTGCAGAAAAATTTAGAGTAAGAAATTCAAAGAAATCTAAGTTGACCATGTATTTTAGAATATATATGGGATTGTATATTTTGAGACCATTTCACTAAGTGATATTAATTTGGTCTAAATAAGGTGAAGACTTTTCCTTTAATCCGTCTCAAGCCCAAATAACGGAGGTGGATTATGTTAGGTAGGCAACCAATGTAAATTTTGCCAAAACTTTCCATGGATTTAGAAGATTTTTCATATGCTTATGATGATGATACTCTGAGATCATTTACCATTATTACAAAAAGGTCACAACTACTCTAAGCGATATCAAATTGGATTGCCCAAATAACGGAGGTGGATTATGTTAGGTAGGCAACCAATGTAAATTTTGCCAAAACTTTCCATGGATTTAGAAGATTTTTCATATGCTTATGATGATGATACTCTGAGATCATTTACCATTATTACAAAGAAGTCACAATTACTCTAAGCGATGTCAAATTGGATTATTTAGAGTGCCTCATAAAGTTAAAGAATTTTTTTTTACACGTTAAGTCTAATAAATGACAAAATGACACACACACGACCACTATCTAAAAGTAAATAGTCTCTTTGTATACTTCTCTATATACTTTTTTGGATTGTTTATAAATAGACCATTTATTTTGTGTACAAGACAGGCATAATCATTCTCGTCCTTTAAATTTCAAAATAGATGGTTGTAAGTGTGTTATTTATATTTAATAGACACAAAGTTCCAAAAAAATAAAAAAATTCGGAGAATAAGCAAATGAAACAATTGAAGTAAATGTAAAGGGGCCAATTTTATATTCATGAAAGTAAAATATGCAAGGAAGTAAATAAATAAATGACACCATTATCGGAAAATAAAATAAATTCTATCGAAATAATTTCAACCATATCTTTTTCTTGCACGCGCCAAAATGTAGATACAAGTTAAGAATTCCAACTTTTCAAACTCAACACGCCTTTAGCGTGCGGAGGAAAAAAGAAAAAAAAAAAAAATTCAATTCCAACAAAAAAGGGTAAAAAAATAAAAAATAAAAAAACCTTGTCTCACTTCTCTCCATCTATTGGTTGGGACGCCACAAAATTCTGCCGCTTAATCCAGTCAGCAGTAGGCCAGCGCCCAAGGTAAAAAAGAAAGGGAAATAAATGTATAGTATGCTCCCGAGGGAGCGTTACATCGCGCTCTTAATTAAACGGGCGAAATGGCAGTTGAAGAAAGGTCAGCGTCGTAGAAAAAGTCGGCCACTTCCAACTTCTCGTCTTCCAAATCGGACCAAATCGGCGACCGCTCCAAAACCCTTCTGTCCCCAAAATCCGCCAAAAAATCGTCCACCAGGAACTCTTCGAAGTCTTCTGGCCATAAATCCGGCAAATATTCCGGCGAGAACTCCAGGTCATCAGGGAAAAATGGAAGCTTTTCCGGAGAAAATGGGGAAGGCTCTGGAAACCCACCTTCCACCAGCTTCAACGGCTCAGATGCATCCATACCGTATCTGAGCACCGAAGTTGGAGATGACAGGTTTGGGGTCTCCTCGCCGGAGTCGTAGCTCGAGGCGGTATATTCCGGCGCATTTTTGGCAGGCAAATCGTGAGTTTCCGGAGAGTTTGTGGCCGGAATATCAGCCGGCGGCGGCGAGAAGTTGGTCGGAGCACCGGGCCCGCGTAGTTGGATAGCGGCGTTGTCGTACACTTTGGCAGCTTCCTCGGCGGTGTCGTATGTGCCGAGCCAGAGGCGCACGCGCCGAGCCGGGTCGCGTATCTCGGCAGCCCACTTGCCCCAAGGTCTCTGCCTCACTCCCCGAAATTTCTTACCAACGCTCCGCCTCTGGATCGCCGGAAAGCCACTCTTCCGTGCCGTTCTCCGGCGAGTTTTGACGTCGGCAGAGCCGGCTCCTTCTCTAGAACACAGCTGTATATTGATCTCGTGGACATAGCGCTTCACGCGTTGCCTGCTAAAGCCAGTGGAATAGGAGCAGGAGGAAGAGTTGTCCTCTTCATCGCTTGAGGAATCTGTGGCGTCCGCGTCAGTGACTGAGACTCTCACGAGTTTCGGCGAGGAGTTATCTGGTTCGTTACCCTTGCCGGAAAAGGGTCGGGGCTTCCGAATGGACGGGTAAAGCTTGTTGACGGACTGGCGGTGCTCAGAAAATTTGATAGGTGGAAATGATAAGAAATCCATTATCTCATTTCTTCCTGTAAATGCATCCAAAAACATTAAGAATGAAAAGAAACCCTACCATAAATGGACGAAGAAGACCTTATTCGCAGAATCCTTATACTCACCTTTTAAGTGACTGTGCCTCCACGTGAGAAGCTGAAACTTTCCAGTAATAAAAGCAACAAGCTTCTATGAGAATGACCGGAAAACACTTGCTATTCTGGTGATTTCACAGAGACACAGGAAAAGACTTGATATTCCGGCGATGAAAAAGACAGGCGAAGAGGCCGGAGAAGTGACAGCCGCGAGTTTGCCCCCCCTTTTTATAGGGAAGGGGGGTGTTTGATCGAAAAAAAAAAAGGAAGACTCCCTTTCTCTGTTCAAACCATTTTAAGAAAGAATTGGACTTAAAAGCCCCCAACTTATCTGACAGAGACGCGCCCTTTCGTATTACAAATCAGCCCCGCGTGCCCTCTTTAGAAACCCAAGAAAAGCAAGCGACGATCGCGTCTTCAATGTTTGACAGCTGCGCACTTATGTAGATTTTTTTTTTTTATTGAGCACTTATGCTATGCCTCTTCTGGGACCATACTATACGTCTACTCCCTTGGTTAAAACATCTATTTAGAAAAGAAAAAATTGAATTTTGAGTATAAAAATTGGGCAGGTCCTTGAGTTATTATTTTTCTTAGAGATTACACCCCACGGTCTTAAAGAAACACCCGAGGGAGTAAATGGATAAATACCTACCGGAGTAGGAAATGTTTTGGCCTTTTTTCCATTTTTATTTTCCTTTGTTTTCAGCGGTAATCCCATGGGAGCAACTGTGCATTTGGTCTGCTCCGTCATATAAAACACGCACTTTGGGAGGTTTGATTACCTGAAAATTTGTCTCTTTACTTTGGTTAAACATGCAATCAATATCAAAAGGGTCCCACGAAAAATAGGAAATTTTCACGACTCTGGATTTTATCATCAATCAATAGATGGTCCATGGTCAATTTTGAAGTGAAATTCCTGCGCTCAAATCAATTCACGTCTGTACAATTTGATCCCACAAGAACACCAAATATTTTTCTTTAGTTTTACCCTATATATAAGACATAAAGTGGTGTTATTGGAATATTCAGTAGGGTCAAATTCAATTTGGAGGGTCGCTTGTTTCAAATTTAATTTGTCTTGGATTTGAGAAATACGCTTGGATTTAGATGAACTAGCAATAGACACAGAATCATGTGAAGATTACTTAATAAATTTGTTGAGAAAAATATGATTGTGCAAGCCCACATATCCCATAGAAATCGAAAACACGAAAGTATCCAATGCTGAACTACTTACCTTAGGGCTTTTTAAGAAAAAAAAAAAGTACAGATTTTTCTTTGATGACATCAGATATCCAATGATTTCAATAAACTTTGGGGACAATACTGCCCTTATGTAGCGTATTTTTGGGCTCACAATTGGCCCTAACGTAGTGTTTCTTTTGGCACTATTTGGTTTACTCTCTACCTAAAATATAAAGTCATAACTAACATATTGCACTGAATAGTGTGAAGATTCCCTAATAAATAAGGGGGAAAATGTTATTACAAAAAAAAAAAAAAAGGAAAAATCGCCCATGTGGACTTTCTCCCTAAAATTGATAACACCAACGTATCCCACAGTGAATAAGTTACTTAGGGCTTTTTAAGAGGAAAATTGTTGGGAAAATTATAAAAAAGTCTCAAGATTACACTTTCTATAAAACTTATCCCAACCTAATTTTTTTTCTCATTTTTTTCTCCAAAATACACTTTTTATACAATTATCCTCGAACCAAATAAAAAATAAAAAAAAATGCCTAAACTATCGTCCCTTACTTGGTATGGTATGGCAGTAGAGCTCCGGCAGTAAAGCGGAGTCCGACAGTAGGGCTTTAGCACTGTGTAAGGTGCGGTCCGGCAATAGTGCTCTGGCACTATGTAAAATACAGTCCGGCAGTTGCAAAGGACAGTCTAGCAGTTGCAAAGGACAGTTCGGCAGTTGCAAAGGGCGGCCCAACTGTTACTTGATTCCAGGGCTCTAGCAATATGTAAATGGCGGTCCCATAGTACTCAGTTTCGGTTTGGTAGTTATCTTAAGGCGGTCCGACACTTGTGCGCTCCGATAATGTGATGGTGCGCTCCGGCAATGGGCTACACTTGTGCGCTCCGACAATGTGATGGTGCACTCCGGCAATGGGCTACACTTGTCCGCTCCGACAACGTGATGGTGCGCTCCGGCAATGGGCTACACTTGTGCGCTCCGACAATGTGATGGTGCGCTCCGGCAATGGGCTACTGGGTCCAAAAGTCAACATCAAATCTACTCAAATGATTTTTGTGTACAGGAAGGGTATTTCTGTCTAAAAAAATGAACTTTTTCCCTTGGGGGCATATTTGCATGGAAAGTTTGTTTTGGAAAAAAAAGTTAGAGATAAAGCTAGGTTGGGGGTAAGTTGCATAAAAAGTGTAGTCTTTGGATATTTATGTGATTTTCCCAAAATTGTTTCATGCAAGTGAACCGCATTTCTACATATGCGGTCTAGAAAGTGTAAAGCATCCATCTTAAAGATGGATGCAAGTAAGTGTTCCATTAAAAAGCACTGGAAACTAAGGGTCCAAATGTTTTCTTACTAGAATTATTATTTTTAGTTTTTAAAATTTATTTAGTTTTTTTAGATTCGTAATCTCCATGTTAGAGATTATATGTCCTTAAAAATTAAGTCTTACAATTCATCTCAAAAATAAATTTATTAAGATGCCCACATTTTTATTATGCAGGCTTGGCCTCATAGAAACCGGGTCCTCTTAAGAAATTTGAACTTCAAAGACGTTTTCTTTGAAGACATTAGACTTGTGAAATTTTGACTTTGGACTATGGATGTCCCTCTTCGAGGTGTACAAGAAGAAAATGTTTTTACGACTCTTTACACCTATAAACCCAGGGCTAGCAATGGGCTGGACTGCCCCGGCACTTTTGACCTCGGCTGTGGCCCGTGCTAGTCCTGTTTGGCCTGGCCAGCTCTCTCTATTTTCTTTTTTTTCTTTTTTTTCCTCTTCTTTTGTTTTTGGCACGGTCCGTTGCCACCCTACACAAGCCACCAAAATCCTCTTCTTGAATGCGCATGGCGCCCTCATGCAACACCCATACACGGCGGAGTAAAACATCAAGGTGATTAGAGCCTCATCGGCGCCCCAAATTTACCAATCCTCTTCATGTGACCTCAAGAATGAAAGCAAAAGGGAGGGAAAAGATAAAACAGATGAACTAAAAACCATTTTAGAAAATAAATAATTATCTATACTATTATATTTACATAAATTTAATTTAAAATAATATGTAACATCTCTAATTAATTATCTATACTATTATATTTATATAAAATTAATTTAAAATAATATGTAACATCTCTCATCAAATTCTTAATAGCACCGTGAGATCTCATGATCAACTCTCCCTCTTTCTCTTGCGTTAGACACCTTACTTTATATCTCACTTGCAAGAAAACCCACTTTCATTTGTTTTGCCTTCTTTTCTTTGATTTAGCAAAAAACCAATTGCTTGAAAAGGAGAAATTTTTTTTTTGGATGAAGTTTTCAAAATTTTATTAAGAAAACTAAGAAAATTTTATTAGCCAAGAAATAGGCAAGAGCATTAGCCTCTGATAGACATGATAAAAGGAAATCGAAAGGGTGGCTAAGATGTCAATAATTTCCAGCCAAATAGAACGAAGTTTCCACCAAACACGCCTATCCTTCTTACACCAACCAATTACATTTAGGGAGTCACCTTCAACGACACAATTACTGCCAAGGTTTTTGAAAAAGAGAATTATTTTTCCCGCTCTACTTCTATTGGTTCTTTTTTTCCTTTGACTCATGGCATTGGAATTAACTATAATCTCTCTCTTTTAGCCTTGAATTATGATGCTAAGAGCTTCTCCTTTTCCCTTCTAGCAAAGCCATTTTCATGTTGTATTTTTCGATCCTTTCCTCTAAACCCACTTTTTTCTCTCTCCTCTTTGCTTCTTGGTTCTCTCTCTATCTGTTTTCTTTCTTTTTTTTTTTCTTTTTTTCTTTTTTTTTTCCTTTTTTCAGTGGAAAAACAAATTCTCTTCATTTTAAATTATAGGCCCTTCTCTTCCCCAGCTGACTAGAATTCGGCTATCGTGGAAATGGTGGAAATGAACTTACTTCTTAGCACATTTGGCCTATTATGCCAGTTTTGCTTGAAGATTGATGCAAATTTTTAGGAAGTTGGAGTCGGGTGAAAGGTTTATGAATATTTTTTATTTTCTCTCTAAGTGGAGTTATATTGGTAGTTATAAGTTTGTGGTAGTAATTATCATCTTCTCTCTCTCCAAATGTATGTGGGATCTTAAATGGGAAGTTATGTTTAAAGGGAGTCATGTAACAAGTAGTGAGGTTGGTTTTTAAACTGTTTGTAAAGCCCATAAATAAGCACTAGTGAATCCAATGAAGTGGTGTACAAAAGAGTTGGTGTTTATCTATGTAAGCTTGTGTTTGTGAAGGATTACAAATGAGGTAATTGAGGACTATTGTGGGTTTTGGTCATAGTATCCCCACTCTAATATTTATATCTGTTTATATTTAGTCCCTCCTTGAATTTTTTGAAGTTAAAGAGTGTTTTCACATTGAAGCACAGCAATGCACATCCAAAAAAAACAAAACCAACAAATTTGGCTCTTTTTAACAGGAATAACGGCGGCAATGGGCAGGGTGGCCCTGCTAGTCCGGACTTAAAATTCTAGGGCTTAGACCACAAATCATGGCCCGAGAGCTGGGCAACCACAACCCGAGGGTAGGGCTAAGTAGAGCCTGGGGCCAAGAGCAGCCCTGTTTGGCCAGCTCAGCCCAGTCCTCTTTTTCTTTTTCTTTTTTTCCTTCTATTTTTATAGATTTCACTTGGCTCAGCCCCATCCAAACCAGTTCTGATAGGGCCAAGGTCGGGCTTAAGCCAAAGCCTCTTTGGCCCAGTCAGAGACGGGCCAGGCTTGGACCAGTCCTATGGGGACTAGGGCCAGCCCTAGATAGGAAAAGTTAAACTAGTCGTTTTCCCTATTAGAAAACACCACGCAAAAAAGGATGCACAAAATCAAAAACCAAAATATATGATATTTTTTTCTTAAGAAGCCGTTAAAAGTACAATATCTCTAAGAAAAATAAACCCTCTAAATCACTCATTCTGAGCACACAGCGGGAATTAGTACCCAGATTATCTCCACCTTCTTCAAGAGGACTGGACAAGGGAGATACCAGCCAACTTACTGAGTGGAGTATTAAGACAAATGGTTTCTCCTGTCAATAAATAAGTTCCACAAAAAAATAAAAGCAACAATAATAGTAATAATTAAGAATAAAGTAAAG